CTAACTTTCAACAAAGGCAGCAAGAATATACAATGACAAAAAGGCAGTCTCTTCAGCAAGTGGTGTTCCAAAGCGAGAGAGCCATGTGTAACTAAATGAAGGGAGAACATACCCTCTTACCAAACACAAAAATAAATTCAAAAATGACTTAAAGACTTAAACTTATGACACCATAACACTCCTAGAAGAGAGCATAAGCAAAACACTCTCTGACATAAATCGTACCAATGTTTTCTTGGTCAGTCTCCCAAAGCAATAGAAATAAAAACAAAAATAAACAAATGGGACCCAATCAAATCTATAAGCTTTTACAAAGCAAAGGAATCCATAAACAAAATGAAAAGACAAACTACAGAATGGGAGAAAATATTTGCAAATGATGTGACCAACAAAGGCTTAATTTCCAAAATATACAAACAGTTGACACAGCTCAATATCAACAAAAATAAATAACCCAATCAAAAAACGGGGAGAGAAGACCTAAACAGACATCTCTCCAAAGAAGACATACAGATGGCCGGCAGTCACAAAAAAAAATATGCTCAACATCACTAATTATTAGAGAAATGAAAATCAAAACTACAATGAGTTGATCACATCATTCTGCTCAGAGGTGATATCATATCACCTCATTCTGGTCAGAATGGCAATCACCAAAAAGTCTACAAATAATAAATGCTGGAGAGGGTGTGGAGAAAAGGGAACCATCCTGTACTGTTGGTGGGAATGCAAACTGGTGCACCCACGATGGAGAACACGATGGAAGTGCCTTAACAAACTAAAAATAGAACTAGAATATTACCCAGTAATTCCACTCCTGGTCATATATCCAGAAAAGATGAAAACTCTAGCCTGAAAAGACACACGTACCCCAGTGTTCATAGCAGTACTATTTACAATAGCCAAGACATGGAAGCAATCCAGGTGTCCATCAATGATGAATGGATAAAGATGATGTCTCACACACACACACACACACACACACACAGAGGGATATTAGCCACAAAAAGAATGAAATACTACCATTCACATCAACAAGAATGGACCTAGAGATTTTCATACCAAGTGAAGTAAGTCAGACAAAAGACAAACTGTGATGTCACTTTTATGTGGACTCAAAAAAAATGATACAAAGGAACTTATTTACAAAATAGAAACAAACTCACAGATAACAAACTTTTGGTTGCCAAAGCGTAAAAGCAGGGCAGGGATAGATTTGGAATTTGAGATTAATAGATATATACTACTATATATATTTATTTATTTTATACTATATATAATATTTTATACTATGTATAATATACTATATACAGAGATATATTTTACACTATACATATTGTGCTAAGTTGCTTCAGTTGTGTCTGACACTTTGTGACTCCATGGACTGTAGCCCCCCAGGCTCCTCTGCCCATGGGATTCTCCAGGCAAGAATACTGGAGTGGGTTGCCATGCCTTCCTCCGGGGGATCTTCCCAACCCAGGGATCAGACCCAGGTCTCCCGCACTGCAGGCAGATTCTTTACTGCCTTTACTGTCTGCCACCAGGGTTGCCTATAATATAGTAATATTACTACATATAAAATAAATAACAAAGACCTACTGTATAGCACAGGGAACTGTCTTCAATATCTTATTAAAAATGAGCTTACATATATCACAAATCTACGTGTATAGCTTGATATATGTGGCAATGTATATGAGTTTTAAGTACTCATACTTATGTGTGTATATATTTGTGTGTGTACATATATATGTGTATATAAAGGTACACATACACACACACCTCCCACCTCTTAGGTGTCCAGCGCGATGAATTTTTGCAAATAAATGCACCAGGTAAGCACCACCCTGATCAGACAGTGCGCTTCCAGCTCCCGAAAGACACTCACAGCCCTGCTCCGTCCGTCCCCTCTCCCCAGGACAGAACCTCAGCCTAACTCCCTGCAGTGCAGACCCGTTCTACCTGCTCCTGAACTCTGTGTAGTGACTCACACGGGAGCCCCCGCCTGGCGTGTGGCCTCTCACTCATCACCACGGCCCAGTTATCCATGTCGCTTCCTTTGTCTCCTTGTGGCTATACAGAATCCTGTTCTCGGAACAGGCCACGACCTTCCCGCCCAGAACCCACACTTGCAACAAGCAGCCAGGTGAGGCGGCTTCGCTCTGCTGCGTCTGGCCAGCTGCGGTTGGCGGAGGGGGACAAATGGGCCGGCAGGAGAAGGAATGTCGGCCCTGCTGGGACTGCTGAGTGGTCCCCGGACGCCTGTGCTGGCTGCTGGGGGTGAGCCGCCTGCGGCCTCCTGGCTGCACCCGGAACTGGAAGAGCCCTGCGCTCCCATGCATCCCCCGCGGGGCTTTTCCGGGCCTCCAGACCGGACTCTGTGGGTGGCGGGGCCACGGTGGGGGCGGTGCAGGCGCCTCTATTATTCACCTGGGATTTTTCTACTACGCCCTCGCCACGTGGTCGGCTTTCTGTGGTATCCTTTTATAATAAACCCAGGAGTCTCTAAGTAATCTCAGTGTCTCGGGCCTGACGTCACTTAGGTCACCAAACCCCACAGGCAACAGGTGCACTCGTGAAGTGCCTGCCTGTAATAACGAAAGCCCGGGAACCACCTAGACGCCCGCGGTCACATTAAGTAAGCTATGGCCCAGAAAGAGGCGGCTCTTGAACCAAACAACGCTGGGATGCATGAATGGACAACATGAAAATCTAAGATACACTAGTTAAGTTCGGGAAAAAAAAAGAAAGCAGATGGCAAAACGGTAGGTGTTAACACTGAACTGTTAGGGTGAGATTCTCCAGAAGTTCTGCTTTCTATAGCCTTTTCATTTGACTTTTTGTTGTTGTTTTACAATGGAGACATTTTCTTCCTATAATCAGAAAATTAAAAGCAAAAGTCACCCATCCTTCTCACCCCCATACATCCAAGTTCTATAAAAACAGAGTACTTTTTACTGCCTTAGCAGGGCTTATGAAAGTGCTCTGGTGAATTCCCTGCAGGGCCAGCAACATTTGCCTGGGTTTTCTTACAGCACAATACCCTTTTTAGCCCTGAGGCAAGAGAGGCTGTGTGATCCAAAAAGCCCAGCATTTTCTATCGCCCCCAACCCCTTCTTCAATCCCATAGCCCTGAGGTCAGCTGGGTTACCAGGGAACCGCCACTTGGGGGAACACTGGGTTTAAGGATAAAGCCAGCTTTAACTGGAAACTTCCACCTGCCAGACCCACACTATGCTGTGCACACCCACTCTCACACTTGTCCTCAAGCCACTCCAGTCTCCGGGTACTCGGATTCTCTCCACTTCAATGAGGCAGAAACTGCCGCTTGGCGAGTCAGCGCCCTGGAATATACGTGGGGCGTATGTTGGCAGTACCAGGCCTGGGACTTGCTTGGCTCTCAGTCCATGACTTGCAATAGGGAGCTGGGCCTTCCCCTCTCGGAGTTTTCAGAAACTGCCCGCAATTCACAGCCAGCGTAACCAAAGCTGTTAACAGGGAAACCACTTAGGGAGAGTGAGTCAAATGGCATTTGCCAATTCACATACAGGGGGAAGCCTCAGGCGTCTCCTGGGACAGCAGTGCCATCTAGTGGCCATTTCCTGGGACAGCAGCACCATCCAGTGGCCGCGTCCCAGGACAGCAGCGCCATCTAGTGGCCGTCAGCCAGCAACTCTTTCCTCCCCTGCCTCCTCACTCTCAGGGGAAATGCTTTTCTCACCCGTTTTGGGGGCCAAGAGCCTGCTGTGACACAGGCATCCCATCACTTGTCTTCTCTTCCCTGCTTCCAGCAGGCAGGCCCTGAGGCTTGGTGTGGTCATCTTGGAATAAAAAAGCTTCTGATCAAGCACAGAGGATTAGGAGCTAAACCAGGGTTTCGCACCCTGGGCACTGTTGACATTTTGGGCTAACTACTCCTTTATTGTGGGAGGCTGTCCTGCATGTTGTAGGATTTTAACAGCATCACTGACCTCTACCCAGAGGCCAGTAGCACAGCCCTCCCCCTCTAGAATGCCTCCAGACACTGACAAATGTTCATTGGGAGCACAGTCACCCCCAGCTAATGACCACTGAGTTAATTTGCCTGGGCTGAAACCCCTTCTGGATTCCGGCCTTGCTAGAGCTGTGACCTGGGGCCAGTGACTCAGACTCTCTGAGTATTAAATCAGGGCACTGACAGCTCCTGCCTCGCAGGGTGGCTGTTTCAGACAACGAGCCTGGGGCTCAGCAAGCGCAGGGGAGAGGCTCCAAGTCACACCTCACCGGTGCGGCACTGGAGCTGAAGCACACAGGTCAGGAGCCAAAGCCACGCCCTTGGCCACATTCTTCCTCATCCTGATGCTTCCAATGCTTATTCTGTTGGCTGTTAGCGACCCAAGCTCTTTAATAAAGGGTTATAAAGACATGCAAATACCCCCAGAACCACCCAGCAGAGGGGAACCCTCTCTTAGCCCTACCATGGAGGAATTAAAAATGGTACTAAGAAAAAAAAAGAAAAAAAAAAAATGGTACTAGGGACTGACCTGTGTGCCCCCAAAACTCATGTGCTGAAACCCTAACCCCCAAAGGGACTGTATCTGGAGACGGGAGGCTTTCAGGAGGTAATTAAAGATCACATGAGGTCAGAGGGTGGGGCCCTGATCCAAGAAGACCTGTGTCTTTACAAGAAAAGGGAGAGACATCAGAATTCTCTCTCCACGTGCACAGAGGAACGAACATATGAGGACATAAAGAGAAAGAGGCCCTCAGCAAACCAGGAAGACAGGCCTCACCAGAAACCAGCCCTGGCGCCACCATGATCTTGGAATGCCAGCCGCAGGCACTGTGAGAAAATGCATTTCTGTCCTCTAAGCCGCCCAGCCTGGGGCATGCGCTCTGGCAGCCCAAGCATACCAAGACACATGGTGGGCACAGACATTCACAAAGCAACACAAAAACCACGGCACACGACGTGCGGCGACACCCAGTGGTGTGGAGGCCAGGGTCAGGACCGTCCTTACAAAGTGAGGTCTCGTGACTGATGTTCTCAAAGAGGATGTTCAGGGTCTGCAGCAGCTGAACGCACACGTAGCGGCCTGACTTCTGCCGCAGGATGTTCAAGAAGAAAACGAACATGTTCTTCTCCAGGAAGAAGCTGGGGAGAGAAGGGGACAGTGTCAGTGGTCTTCCACACGTGGAAATGCCCATCATCCTCCGGTTGCACACCCAACACAGGTGTGTGCAGCCCCACAAAGGCATCTGCAGAGCAGCCTGGTCACATCACTTGTGTGGGCTTGGCTTCCAAGACATCCAGTTTCCACGCCGCCGTCTTCCATTCAGAGAAACACAACCTTTCAAACTCTCTTCCCAGAATGTGAGAACAGTGCTGATTCTGGGAAGTGGTGAACTTCCAGATCTCGGACAGAGGGGGAAAGGTCTTTCCCAACTAAATGATGACACAGTGATCTATCTACGCTTCTAAAACCAACAAGCCTCTGTTTTCCATCCATATTTTATAAGCACAGTTTTCCCCACTAAGTTTCCTTCCTTAGGTTTCATAGCTCGGACTTCTCACCAGCAACCTAGGAACCAGAGTGATTCCCCACAACGGGGCACGAGGATGCTGAATAGTTAAAGAGTTTGGCTGGTTTCTCGATTGGCAAGCTGGTCATTTCCACATCTAGGGAATGAGAACTGCAAAGAAAGAGAAAGTGCTGATGTGGTCACGGGACACCAGCCCGTCCCCAGGCCTTTCTTGTCCTGGACAGAATGTCTGTCTGCATGCAGGCTGGGGGCACTGACTTTGGGAGGGCACACAATGTCTCTTTTAGCCTTGAAATGGAGACCCCCTAATGCCTTTCTTTAAAGGAAGAAAATGTTTCTAGTTATGTTCTCCGTATTCAAGCTAAGGGCCTTCCTGGTGCCTCACTGGTAAAGAATCTTCTTGTCAATGCAGGAGACGTAGGTTCGATCCCTGGGTCAGGAAGATCCCCTGGAGAAGGGAATGGCTACCCACTCCAGTATGCCTGCCTGGAAAATCCCATGAACAGATGGGCCTGGTGGGCTACAATCCATGGGGTTACAAAGAGTCAGGCCTGACTTAGCGACTAAACAACAATTCAAGCTGAGACCAGGTCACCTCTCATCTAGGATGCTCAGGACAAGTCCTAGCCATCTCGTGGGTCTGTTGCTGACTCATTTGGGGGGGTCTCTCTCTTCCCTCTCCCGTCAGCTCCCTGCTGGCAGGACCGTGGGCCTGGTACTCACTCAGTCCTGCCGACCTTCTGTCTGAAACGGTAAATGAATAAATAAACCTGACCTTAAAGGGACCCCTATTTTCCAGCTCTGACTCTTGGAGTCTATGTGCCAACAAATGCCATCCACAATGACCCCCAGAATATTTCTATCATTTGACCAATCGTGTCTTCCTCTGCTTCAGCTTGTATAAAGCAGTGACTGCCAAGTGTCACCCAGTAAGGTCACTGTGACCCAAGGACCAGCCTGGGAACTTGTCAACATGTCTGTACCTAGATCTTGTCCAGGGGTAGATTTAATATGTCCAGTGTGAAATTTGGGTGCCTGGATTTTTACAACCCCCTAGGTGAGTGAGGGGATCCTTGGGAAAGTGGCTAATTCTAGGGCTGGGGCAGGGAACACGCCAGACGAGCCTGGAGCACCACAGAGGACCAGAAAGTAAGGAAGTGCTCCAAATCCAAAAGGACGGGGCTGTGTCACAGGGACACGGGAAGCGACCCGAAAGAGCTCCCAATGCTCAAAGCTGGAACAACACCAGCACAAAATAAATCCCAGAGCCCGGATTATCATCCAGAGTACAAAATGAACACCCACGAGTCCATGTTGATATACCTGCGCCTTTCAGACGCTGTCTTTTTACAACTGAAACCTTGTACTGAGCAAGTGTGTTGGCGCCATTTTCCCAACAGCATTATTTTTTAATTGAGGTATGCATGCTGATTTTGCAGACACAAGGCTACTGCACCCTTGACAGACTACAGAACAGTGTGACCATAACTTATATGCACTGGGACTAGCAAAAAAATTCACGTGACTCGCTTTACTGCAATATTCACCTTATTGAGGTGCCCTGGAACCAAACCTGCAAAATCTTCAAGAGATGTATATAAATAAATGACTGGATAGATTAATAAATGAGAGAAGAAGCAAATGTTCTATGCAGAAGAATTTCAAATATTGTCTGTAGATTCGCCCTCCTTCAAGAAGGTGGAGCTTAATTCCCACACCCCCATGAAGCTGGACTCACTTGTGGAGATAGGTGAGGAGGAAAGAGTAACCTTAGGGTAGAAAACCCTGGCAGATACCAGCTGTGCCAAGTGATCAGGCTAACCCACCAGGGATCACATGGCTGTCAGGAACATGACATCCCGGGAGGTGAAGGGCACTTCCCCAGGAAGCACTCGTCCCCAAAACTTGCAGGCTAATCAGGAGAGAAACAGCAAAGAAGCCCAGACTGGGGGACATTCTACAAGACAGCTGGCCAGTCCTTCTCAAGACCATCAAGGTCACAAAACACAAGAGAAAACTAAACAACTGTCACAGACCACAGGACACCGGGGAAACCTAACAACTAAATGCATTATGGCACCTGGATTGGGATCCCGGAGCAGAAAGAGGATGTTAATGGAAAAACTGGTAGATTCCAAATCAAGTCTGGAGTTGATGTAATAGTGGTGTTTTGACAAATGATATTAACAGGGGAACAGGGTGAGGGGTAAATGGAAACCTTCTGTGTAATCTAAAATCTAAAATTATCCAGAAACTTTAAAATGGATTAAATACAAATTCTCTTGGGGCCTCTGCAGGGCAGTGATTTAAGAATAACTGGGCCTCTGAGAGCTCAGCAGTTTCTCTAAGATGACAAGTGGACTAAAAAATTCCATTCTAGTAAAGGTGACTCTCTGTTTATTTCCAAGGCAAACTATTCAATATCACAGTAATCCAAATCTATGCCCCAACCACAACTGCCAAAGAAGCTGAAGTTGAACAGTTCTATGAGGACCTACAAGACCTTCTAGAACTAACACCAGAAAAAGATGTCCTTTTCATCATAGGGGACTGGAATGCGAAAGTAGGAAGTCAAGAAACATCTTGCAAGTTTGGCCTTGGAGTACAAAATGAAGCAGGGCAAAGGCTAACAGAGTTTTGCCAACAGAACGCACTGGTCACAGCAAACACCCTCTTCCAACAACACAAGAGATGACTCTACACATGGACATCACCAGATGGTCAATGCTGAAATCAGATTAATTATATTCTTTGCAGCAGAAGATGGAGAAGCTCTATACAGTCAGCAAAAACAAGACCTGGAGCTGACTATGGTACAGATCATGAACTCCTTATTGAAGAAAGTAGGGAAAACCACTAGACCATTCAGGTGTGACCTAAATTAAATCCTTTACAATTATACAGTGGAAGTGACAAATAGATTCAAAGGATTAGTCTGATAGAGCACCTGAAGAACTATGGACGGAGATTCTAACATTGTATAGGTGGTGATCAAAACGATCCCCAAGGAAAGGAAATGCAAAAAGGCAAACTGGTTGTCTGAGGAGGCCTTACAAATAGCTGTGAAAAGAAGAGAAGCAAAAACCAAAGGAGAAAAGGGAAGATACCCATCTGAATGCAGAGTTCCAAAGAACAGCAAGGAGACGTAACAAAGCCTTCCTCAGTGATCAGTGCAAAGAAATAGAGGAAAACAAAAGAATGGGAAAGACTAGAGATTTCTTCAAGAAAATTAGAGATACCAAGGGAACATTTCATGCAAAGATGCGCACAATAAAGGACAGAATATGGACCTAACAGAAGTAGAAGATATTAAGAAGAGGTGGCAAGAATACACAGAAGAACTATACAAAAAAGATCTTAATGACCCAGATAACGACGATGGTATGATCACTAACCTAGAGCCAGACATCCTAGGGTGCAAAGTCAAATGGGCCTTAGGAAGCATCACTACAAACAAAGCTACTGGAGGTGATGGAATTCCAGCTGAGCTATTTCAGATCCTAAAAGATGTTGCTGTGAAAGTGCTGCACTCAATATGCCAGCAAATTTGGAAAACTCAGCAGTGACCACAGGATTGGAAAAGGTCAGTTTTCATTCCAATCCCAAAGAAAGGCAATGCCAAAGAATGTTCAAACTACTGCACAATTGCACTCATCTCACACGCTAGTAAAGCAATGCTCAAAATTCTCCAAGCCAGGATTCAACAGTACATGAACCAAAAAGTTACAGATGTTCAAACTGGATTTAGAAAAGGCAAAGGAACCAGAAATCAAATTGCCAACATCTAATGGATCAGAGAAAAAGCAAGCAAATTCAAGAAAAACACCTACTTCTGTTTTACTGACTACACTAAAGCCTTTAACTGAGTGGATCACGACAACCTGGAAAATTCTTAAACAGACGGGAATACAGACCACCTCACCTGCTTCCTGAGAAATCTGTATGTATGTTAAGAAGCAACAGTTAGAACTGGACATGGAATAATGGACTGGTTCAAAATTGGGGAAGGGGTACATCAAGGCTGTATATTGTCACCCTGCTTTCTTAACCTATATGCAAAGTACACCGTGCACATCAATAACCTCAGACATGCAGATGACACCACGCTTATGGCAGAAAGTGAAGAGAAACTAAAGAGCTTCTTGATGAAAGTAAAAGAGGAGAGGGAAAAAGCTGGCTTAAAACTCAACATTCAGAAAACGAAGATCATGGCATCCAGTCCTATCACTTCATGGCAAATAAATGGGGAAACCATTAAAACAGTAAGAAACCTTACTTTCTTGGGCTCCAAAATCACTGCAGATGGTAACTGGCAGCCATGAAATTAAAAGACACTTGCTCCTTGGAAGAAAAGCTATGTCTAATCTAGATAGCATATTAAAAAAGCAGAGACATTACTTTGCTGACAAAGGTCCGTCTGGTCAAAACTATGGTTTTTCCAGTAGTCATGTATGGATGTGAAAGTTGGACCATAAAGAAGGGTGAGTGAGGAAGAACTGATGCTTTTGAACTGCGGTGCTTTTGAACAAGGGACTCCTGAGAGTCCTTGGACTGCAAGGAGATCCAACCTGTCCATCCTAAAGGGGACTGCAAGGAGATCCAACCTGTCCATCCTAAAGGAAATCAGTCGTGAATATTCATTGGAAGGACTGATGCTGAGGCTGAAACTCCAATACTTTGGCCACCTGATGTGAAGAGCTGATTGATTAGAAAAGACCCTGATGCTGGGAAAGACTGAAGGCGGGAGGAGAAGGGGATGACAGAGGATGAGATGGTTGGATGGCATCACTGACTCAATGGAGATGAGCTTGAGCAAGCTCCAGGAGTTGGTGATGGACAGAAGAGCCTGGTGTGCTGTAGTCCATGAGGTTGCAAAGAGTCAGACACAACTAAGCAACTGAACTGAACTGAGTAAAGATGACACGGTTTCCAATCTTTAGCCCAAGAGTCTCTCTCATTTCCATAAACAGATACCAAGCAACCAACAAACAGTAAAGTCCCCACAGATCCTGAAAGGCAACTCATCCTGCTTACAAGCAACACCTGTTTATTACTCAGGTTTTCCTTAGGGAACCCAACCAGTGTCACAGGTCTGTATTCACACAGTTTGCGTTTTCCACAAGTAGCTCCATCTAATGAAAACCTCGCTGATGAAAACACAGAACCAGCCAGAAAATCAGAATATCTAATAAGGAAGCCGGGTTGGAAAGGGAACACCTGTATTTGTTTTAAGTGGTTTTACTAAGTGGCTTCAATAGTTACAATTGAGATTAGTTTATATAAAAATACAATCTGTGTTTGTTGATTGTCACAACCCCAATCCTTCTGCATTCAGACGGTGGGACAAGTCTGCTGGGGAAAGCAGTTCATGGGTTATGGCCTTCGCTTCTTAATGAAGTAGGGGCACCTTCTAAAATGATCATTTGCTAATATTTCTCGAGTGCCTACTCTGTACCAGGCACTGGGCAAGGAACCTGCTCTCTCTCACTTGACCATGAGGAAACTGAGGCAGGCCTAAGAGTGTTCACCAAGGAAGTGTGAGTGAGGAGAAGCCCCTCCACGGGCTCTGGGTATAAGCCGCTGTTTCTTCACTCAGCAGCTGCGTGACCTTGAACACAAACATCTGTGGGGGTGGGGATGAAGTGCGGACGGGGGAGTCGGGAGACTTCCTCATAGAAGGACCGTCTCATCAAGAGCTCGGCACTGTGGCCAGCCGCCAGGAAGCACAATCGCTGCTAACCCTTAGGGTCCTCCACCCCCACCCTCAGCCCAGGGAAGGGTCTTTTCAGTTCACTTGGAATCTAACACCCAAGACATTCTCTCTTTCCTCTGGGGGAGATAATCAGACATTACTTGGAAAATTATCCATGACATTTTCAGATTTCTCCAGGGACACTCATTTCCATAACTTTCCTGTTTTCAGCAGGCACTTCTACAGTGTTTCAAGGACATTTGAGAGAGAAAGAGAGAAAACGGTGCAGGACCAAACTGGCGTCAAACCCTGACGTCATCGGGAATGACTCACGGCTCACATTTAGAACAACATGCAAAGGAAGAAGAAGGATCAAAAAACAAAAAAACAGACACCCTTACTCAAATACAGAGCTGTCATTCTGATCCCCCCAGATCAGGATCTCGGTGATGGATCGGATGGTCTCCACCAGCAGGTTCCTGTTCTGTTCTGTGACGGTGGTGTTTTTGGTCAACACGTGGTACAGATACCTGAGAGGAAGGAAAGAAAAGAGAACTACAGGTGACCAGCTGAAATGGAAGCCAGGCCCAGGGACCATGAGTGACGTCTTAGGGACAACTTGGCTGGGCGTTTTTCAGACTCAGTGGTTAGCACAATTCCCATTCAGACGAGACGTGACTCACCACCCGAGAAAACAGGCAGATGATGCTTCAAACTGTTACATGACCAGCGACTCACCAACCCGAACCGAGGCAAGACTGTCAAACTCCTGAAGACAGGCAGGCTCACACTCCAGTGTGGGCAAGAGAACAGCCTGGAGAGTGGGACAAAGCGGGACAGAGCCCACCGGAGATCAAGCGCAGGGGCGCTGAGGGAAGACTAGGAGTCGGCCTTTTTCACACTCTCAGGTCATTCTGAGGCCAGTGGAGCCAATGGAGACACACAGCGCAGCACCAGACGCCTGAGAGCCACTGTCTGGCTGATGCAGAGATGAGACCTGCAGTCACAGGTCAGGGAGGATGGGGCCCAGAGCCACCACGATCGCCCTTGGAATGCCCTAATCCCCCTGCACAGGACTGATGGCTCAGAAGAAGTGGGTGGTTTGCAGTTCAACGGCAGTGATCTTACCCGCTGTGTGCAGATGGAAGTGGAGTGGATTTGAGGGGCAATGGTGAGGTACCTCACCCACCCGCACGTGCAGAGACCAGAGGCCCAGCCTCATCCTAGCGGGCATGAGAATCGCAGAGGCCACTCCTGAGCAGCGCGGGGATCAGCAGCCTGGCAGACGCCCTGGGAGCACTGCCTGGCTCAGCTTTTGAGAGAGCGTCTTCCTGGCCTGCAGACTGAGGCCAGTTCAGCTTGCCAAGGTCCTAACCAACCAGCAAACTCTTATGAGTATGTCAAAACCCAGCTCAGTCACCTCTCCATGAAGCCTTCTTCAAGAACCTACCTCCCGCTCTCCTGCCCGAGTAGATTTGACTGCTCCCTCCTCTCTGGCACCTCTGTACCCAAATGCATTTGCTGCTGCACAGACCACTCTGATTTGCAGTGATCTGCCTCCTTCACGAGACCTGAGTTCCTTGAGGTCAGGAACATCATCTTACTGATCCTGGTGACCCCATAATACTAGAGAATGTCTGATACACTGTAGGTGCTCAATATATGGTGAATGGGAGTGGGGGGCCCATTTTCACGGATATAAGGTAGATCAGAGCCTGCGAGGCAAAATATAGTCAAGGAGTTAAACACAGCAAGGAGTGGCAAAGAGCAGTAATGAAGAGTTCAAACCTCTGTCCCCAACAGACAGGCCTGGGCTTGATTCCTGGCCCTGTTGCCCACTGCGCGCGGCCGTGGATGAGGCGTTTCACCTCTCTGGGGCCCGGGGTCCACAGCAGTCAAGGCCTCCTTGCTGGACTGTTGCAGAGACTCTGTGATGACGCGCTGAAAGAACCAAGCACTGCGCCTGGCACATGGTGACCGCTCACGGGAGGCAGGGCCAGCGGCTACTGCCATTACCACCCGGCGGTGGCCCGAGGAGGGCCCCTGTTAAAACCACGATTTAAACTCTACAAGGAGTATGCCACCAACACAGGAAGGACAGACAGTCTGGATCCACACAGTCATGAAAAGAGGACTTCACGGCAGGAGTTATAAGAAGGTCCAGAGAAACCAGAGCAGGAAGTGGGGAGTCTGGTTATGAGCTGGGTGACATCAAGCAAGCTACTTATTCTGTGTACCTCAGTTATCTCACCTGAAAAATGGGAGCAGCACCAGCACGTGACTCCTTTAGCACCTATTATGGTGTCTTAGGAACAACCAAGTTAAAAGGTAGATAACTAACCTGGCAGTTCCCATGCATGACACAAGTGCTAGCTATTACTGTTATCACTGCCTTCACCAAATAATCCCTGAAAGAAATTCTAGGAACTATGAGGAGGCCCTTACAGACAAACCCACAGTGAGGGTGGGGTGTTAAGTTCTGAAAAGAGGATTCTCGGCACTCCGACAAGTGGTGCATGGCCCGCATGACAGGCCCTGCAAGCAGGCGAGCCTTCCTGTGACCCTCATACTCGCAGTAACCTGGGGACGCACACCTTGCTAGCAATGCACAGGCCAGGAAGGGACCTGAGGGGCACTCAGCAGCCCATCCACAGCCTCAGGGCAGAAGCCGTCTGGGGGCTCCAGCCCACCCCCCACCTCCACAGAGCTTGCGGCTCTCTGCCTTTCTCGGTGGCGCCGTCTGCTGGCAAGTGGTGATGCCGCACCAGGGTCTCATCACATGACCACAAGTGAAGGTGGGTGTCTTTTCACATGTTCAGAGCCATCTAAATATCCTCCTTTGGGAGGTAACTGTGTGAGTTTTTTGCCCACTTTTTACTAGGTAGAGAAACTTTTTTCTTATTAATTTGATGGAGTTTATGCACTCTGAGTACAAAACGCTTACTGGATACACGAAAGTGAAGTCAAGTGAAGTCGCTCAGTCGTGTCCAGCTCTTTGCGACCCCATGGGACTGTAGCCTGCCAGGCTCCTCCGTCCATGGGATTTTCCAGGCAAGAGTACTAGAGTGGGTTGCCATGTCCTTCTCCAGGGGATCTTCCAGACCCAGGGATTGGACCTGGGTCTCCTGCACTGCAGGTAGACGCTTTACCATCTCAGCGACCAGGGAAGGCCTTACTGGATATCTACCTATGGCAAAAGTTTTCTCTGAACGCAGCTTGCCTTTTCCCTCTCTTTACAGTGGTCTTTTGATGAGCAAAAGTTCCAAATTTTATCGTGGTTCAATTTATCAATCTTTCCCTTGGATAGTGCTTTTTGTATCAACCTGAAGAAATCCTTACATACCCCAAGGTCACAAAGAAATACTGTTTTTTTTTTTCTTTTAAAAAGTTATTGTTTCACCTTTCACATTCTGACTTAGAGCACACCTGAAACTCACTTTTGTGTATGGCGTAAGATATTGGCCAAAATTCATTTTTTCCCATATGGCGATCTAGTTGGTTCAGCATCATATACTAGAAACATCCTCATTTCTCCAAAGGACACCAATGTCGACTTTGTCGTTAATCAGGTGACCACACGTGGGACTCCTTCTGGATGCTCTAGTTCTACTGATCTGTTTGTTTACCTTTGTGCCAACACCATGCTATCTGATCACTGCAGCTTTATAATAAATCTTGCAATGTGATATCTTCCAACTTCTTCCATCCCCCCCCATTATTATATTGGCTATTCTTGCCCCTTTGAATTTCCACATACATTTTAAAATCACCTTCTCAATTTCCACAAAAAAATATCTGCTAAGATTTCCTTTAAGACTGCCCTAAATCTCTAGCTAAATATGGAGAGAACTGACATCTTTTTGAAAGTGTAACATGATGACATTTACATTTCCTTCAAGGTTTGCTGGATGGGGGCTTGCGCATCTTTTGTTAGATTTATTCCTAGGGATTTGATGGGTTTTTTGATGCCGCTGTAAATGGGAGTGTTTTAAAATATTCATTTTCTAAATGTCTGTTGTTGGTGGATGCAAACACCCACTAGATCTCAAGCTCAAATTTCCACTGCCACTGGTTCATTCTTTTGCCACCACAATGCCCAAGCACACTGTTTCAGGTCACGTTTTAGGGAGAGCCGCTTGATATATGTTTGCTTAAGTGTGGTGAGGGGAAAAAAGAAAGCTGAATGGATTAAAGATTAATATTTTAATGTTGCATCTAATTCCACAGCTTTGGAAGATCGAATAATTCAACTACCTCAGAGACACCAGTACAATATTAATATAATAACTTTCTGGTTTTAAACATAACACTATTTTAGAAAGACTGGAAACTTCAACAACAAAAAAAGAGAGGACCACTGCTGGGGCTGCAGTGTGTTTCCCTGGGTCATCTTCTTTGCTATGGAATCTACATACTTGAGCTCATGCGTGCATATGTGCTAAGTCACTTCGCTGGTGTCCGCCTCTTTGCGACCCTATGTACTACAGCCCCTGCCGGGCTCCTCTGTCCATGAGATATTTAAGCTCAGGCAGTATGTCTGTTACCATGTCCATCCTTCTTCCCGCCCAGGCTAAAATAAAAACACTCCTGTTACTGGTAACTGCTCACAAGCATCAGCAGCGGCTACACAGCACACCACTGAAAGGACACACAGCAGTCACTCCTATACCGAGCCTCAGAAATCAGCAACAATGTTACGATATTCCCACATCTCCACCTGCAAGGCTGCTGTTTCCGGTGTAGATCAGTTTCTAAGGGCAGAGTGACAGATTGGTCTCTGACAATGATAATAACTGTGAGGACAACAAGTTTCTCTCAAACTCTGTGTGTGTGTGTCCATTTTAACCACCATCATCGTAGAGACAGTCGCAGCCTCCTATTGCCAGGTCTCCATTCTGAGGGCCTCAGATCAGATGAGCTCACTCATAATCCTGCACAACAATCCTGCCGGGCTGATGCCCTGGGAAGCCCAGGATCCTCCCGGAGTCCCAACATAAGGACAGGGCACCAGGCAGTGACCCCACGCTTATAACCATCTTAATGCAGAAGATGCAAACAATGACTTAAACGCTTTTATTAGTCAAGCATTTCCATGAAGTGATGAATGCCTAGCACCCAAGACAAACAACAAACCAAAAAGGCATGGCAACATGTACCAGATCTTAAGGTAAGTCCTTATCATGGACCCTTATGCCACTTCTTTGGAAAAGAGCCAGCATTATCATGCCTCCAGTGAAAATTCTGCAGAAATGCAGAATCTCAATTTCAGACTTTTGCACAAGAGCCAACTCTACTCTGAGAGACAAGCTGAAGTTTGAAATGCCTGGAGACAGAAACACTGCAGTCTGTTACCAGGGTGCATGCCACACATGATAGGCTCATCACCAAGGACTCCGACTGTAAACAAATCCCTCCTCCACGGACCCTGCTTCCTCAAGAGACCCACTTATTTTCCAAGTTAAACCATCATAGTAAATAATAATTATATCCAGGTCAGAGAGAGATGTACTAAGTTGAAGTTCATACAAGT